TTTTTTTTGTAATTTACATCCAAATTAGTTACCATATAATGACTTTAGGAGTAGAATCCAGTGATCCATCTCCTACATATAACACCCACTACTCATCCCAACAAGTGTCCTCCTTAATGCTCCTTGCCCATTTAGCCCACCTCGCTCACCCAGAACCCCTCCAACAACCCTCAGTTTGTTCTCTGTATTTAAGAGTCTCTTATGTTTTGTCCCTCTCCCTGTTTTTATATTATTTTTGTTTTCCTTCCCTTATGTTCATCTGTGTTGCATCTTAAATTACACATATGAGTGAAGTCATATGATACTTGTCTTTCTCTGACTAATTTTGCTTAGCTTAATACACTCTAGTTACATCCACACTGTTGCAAATGGCAAGATTTCATTCTTTTTGATTGCCAAGTAATACTCCATTGTATATGTATACCACATCTTTATCCGTTCATCAGTCAATGGACATTTGGGCTCTTTCCATACTTTGGCTATTGTCAATAGTGCTGCTGTAGATTGGGGTGCATGTGCCCCTTCAAAACAGCATACCTTTATCCTCCGGATAATTATCTAGTAGTGCAATTGTTGTGCTGTAGGGTGCTTCTATTTTTAATCATTTTTTTTAATGTTTATTTATTTTTGAGAGGGGGGAGGGGCACAGAGATGGGGAGATACAGAATCCCAAGCAGGCTCTGCATTGACACTGGCACAGATAGAGTCCTGTGTCGGAATCCATGCTGAGCATGGAGCCTGCTTACGATTCTCTCCTTTCACTCTGCCCCTCTCCCCTGTTCATGTGTCTATATATAAAATAAATTAAAATAAAATAAAATAAAATAAAATAAAATCTTGTGCAAATATTACTTTAAAAATTAATTGAAAAACAGAAAAGAAAGACGAGGGTCACCTGGGTGGCTCAGTCGGTTAAACTTTAACTCTTGGTTTTGGCTCAGGTCATGGTCTCATGGATTTGTGAGTTCAAGCCACATATTGGGGCTCTGTGCTGACAGAGTGGAGCCTGCTTGGGATTCTCTTTCTGCCTCTTCCCCACCCTTTCCCCACTTTCATGAGCTCTCTCTCTCTCCCAAAATAAATAAATAAACTTTTAAAAATGACATCTTGTAGTGTGATACTACATTTTTCTTGTTCTTTTTTTATAGGTGAGGTTGGACATCCATCTTTTCATCTACTTTAATGTTACTCCTTTTTTTTTTAAGTTTATTTATTTTTGAGAGAGAGAGAGAGAAGGGGAGGGGTAGAGACAGAGGGAGAGAGAGAATCCCCAAGCAGGCTCCGCATTGTCAGCACAGCGCCCGACACAGAGCTAGTACCCATGGAACTGTGAGATCATGACCTAAGCCGAAGTCAAGAGTTGGACACTTGTCTGACTGAGCCACCCAGATGCCCCTCTTTTTTTTTTTTTTTTTTAAAGTAACCTCTATGCCCAACGTGGTGCTTGAACTCAAGACCTAGAGATCAAGAGTTGCACGCTCTACCAAATGAGCCAGCCACGTGCCCATAGTTACTCTATTTCTTTTTCTATGAAGTGGCTGTTCATATTTTTTGTCCATTTTTCCATTGCGTGGTTGGTCTTATGAGTCAGCAAGAGTTCTTTTTTTTTTTTTTTTTAATGTTTATTTAATTTTGAGAGAGACAGAGACAGAATGCGAGTGGGTTAGAGGCAGGGAGAGAGGGAGACACAGAATATGAAGCAGGCTCCAGGCTCCGAGCTGTCAGCACACAGCCCGACACAGGGCTTGAATCTATGAACTGCAAGATCATGACCTGAGCTGAAGTCGGACACTCAACCGACTGAGCCACCCAAGCACCCCAGAAATATGGTTTTTATATAGTCATTTTTTACCATTATTTTGTTTCTGAGTGTTCTAATTAGAAACTCTCACTCCATGATTATTAAATGCTCCAATTTTTACTTTCCATTTGGAATTTATTTGTATGTTAGCTGTGGCCTTGGGTCCTGAATTTGACAGAGGATTTCTGATTATGGGGCATTAAATGATATCTTAGAAGGCAGTTTTATGAAAAATGCCAGTGTATTCTATCTTATGACAGCCAAACTCTAAAGGCAAGTTCTATAGAGGACAGTTAGTAGAATATAGTAGTAGTTTGGCTAATGCATTTTTCTTTGTGAATTTTGGGTTTTCTTGATTTGTTTATATTTATTAATATTTGTATGTATGTATTTATAAACACTCTATACCCAACATAGGGCTCCAACTCAAGACCCTGAGATCAAGTCACATGCTCCATTGGCTGAGCCAGCCGGGTGCCCCTTGATTCATTTATTTTTAACAAGTATTTTTTTCCATGGGTAATATGTTGGTTAGATTAGAAAACGGCAGATAAGGAATTATTTCAAATTAATGAAAAGGATACTTATATGTATATGCAATCCTGATTTTTCTTCTCAGCTCCAGATTGGTATAACCAACCATCAACCTGACATCTTGACTTACTTGTGTAATAAATATTTCAAACTTAACTCCCCAAATCACCTCCCAAAAGAAGTATATCCTTTATTTCAGTATGTACCACCATCCATCCAGTTTTGTTCAAACCAAAAATTGAAGATACTTGATTTCTTTAATATCCTCAATCCCACATTCCATAACAGCAAGTCCTTTCACTTATACACAAAATATATCTTAAATATAATCCTTCCATTGCCATTTACTATCCATACTGTAAGCCAAAGTCTTTTCTCACATGGATAACAGCAATAGCCTCCCAATTAGTCTCCCTACTTTCACATACCTCCCCTATAATCTATTTTCTACAGTAGCAGCTAGAGGGATCTTTTAGTCATTTATTTGTTTGTTTTTTAATTTTTTTATCATTTATTTATTTTTGAGAGACAGAAAGTGAGCAGGGGAGGGGCAGAGAGAGAGGGAGACAGAGTCTGAAGCAGGTTCCAGGCTCTGAGCTGTCCACACAGAGCCCTATGCGGGCTCGAACTCATGAAACACGAGATCATGACCTGAGCCAAAGCCAGAAACCTAACTGGCTGAGCCACCCAGGTGCCCCCAGAGGGATCTTTTAGAAAGATAGGTATACCACTTCACGTTACTTCTCTACTTACAACTGTCCAGTGTCTTCCTGTTGCGTTTAGAATAAAAGCCAAATTTTTTTTTTTAATTTACATCCAAATTAGTTAGCATATAGTGCAACAATGATTTCAGGAGTAGATTCCTTAGTGCCCCTTACCCACTTAGCCCATACCCCCTCCCACACCCCCTCCCACATCCCCTCTCACACTCCCTCCCACACTCCCTCCCACACCCCCTCCTGTAACCCTCAGTTTGTTCTCCATATTTATGAGTCTCTTCTGTTTTGTCCCCTTCCTGTTTTTATATTAGTTTTGTTTCCCTTCCCTTATGTTCATCTGTTTGTCTCTTAAAGTTCTCATATGAGTGAAGTCATATGGTTTTTGACTTTCTCTGACTGACTAATTTCACTTAGCGTAATGACCTCCAGTTCCATCCACGTAGTTGCAAATAGCAAGACTTAGTTCTTTTTGATTGCCAAACAATAATCCATTGTATATATATATACCACATCTTCTTTATCTATTCATCCATTGATGGACATTTGGGCTCTTTCCATACTTTGACTATTGTCAATAGTGCTGCTATAAACATGGGGGTGCATGTGTCCCTTCGAAACAGCACATCTGTATCCCGTGGATAAATGCCTAGTAGTGCAATTGCTGGGTTGTAGGGTAGTTCTATTTTTAGTTTTTTTGAGGAGCTTCCATACTGTTTTCCAGAGTGGCTGCAGCAGTTTGCCTTCCCAAAAAACCAAACTCTTTACTGAGGCTCTACATGACCTGACTTTTGCTATTCTTCCCATGCTCATATGATATCATCTGCTACTTTGCTTTGAGACTTCAGTCATACAGAACTTTGTTCTTCAAGTATACACAAGTTCATTCCTGATTTAGAATCTTTATACCAGTTTTACTGGGTTTTCATGTGGTTCACTCCTTGTTTTTCCAGATTAGCTCAGATTTTACCTTCCTGTAGAGGCCTTCCCTGACCATCCTACACAATGTTGACCTCTCTTCTCCTATCTCTGTCACAATAGTCTAATTTTATTCATTGCATTTACCACTATCTGAAGGCATTGTTGTTGGGTTTTGTTGTTGTTGTTGTTATTTTGCTCAGTAGGCTTCATGCAAAGTCATTGTTTATTGATCTATTACCTAATTCTCCTACTGGACTGTAAGCCCCATGAAAGCAGGGACCTTATTCACTAGAACAATATCTATCCCTGGCACAAAACTGTCTTTCAAATATTTAATGAAAATGGAAGTGAAAAATTTTATAGACTTGGCTATGCTTTCAAGGGTGCCTGGAGTTGCTTAATCAAGATAAAGTACACTATGGAGGAAGAAGCAGTTTATGAACTTACTAAAAACTGGACCTCTCATCATTCCTTTCCTTTTCTAATCTGACTTTTATATTCACTTGTTCACTATTCTACCAAAATTGTATTCTCCAAAGTTCAATAAAATTGATTGAGTTACAGGCCTTTTTCTTTACAATCCTCATCCTTTAAGCAACATTTGACACTTTGAAACTCTCTTCCCTTAGCATCTCTGATAAGACCATCCTGCTCCTCTCCCTGATTTGGAGACCCCTTTAATGTACACTCACAGGGAGTGTTTTGATAATCAACATACATGTCTCCTTAATTCCTTTTGTATAGTTGTTCACCATTTTCCTTTTGTATAGTTGTGTTTCCCATTCTTCAATGTATGCAGTCTTAGTGGGACTGTAAATTCTGGTGTCTTGCCCCCTCATTAGTGAAATGAAGGCAGGGAACTCAAGCCAAGCCAATCATGTTCCTGCCCCTGCACCTTGAAACTTGAGTGGAATACCAGGACTGGGAAAAAAGTGATTGAAATGCATTTATTTTAGCAGTAATAATTGGAGGAGATAGTTGAGTAGTTTCTACTAACTAGATAGCTGAAGTGACCCTATTTCTCCTACTTTATTAGCTCTCTCATAAATTGTTTCTTTGTTTAAATCATCCAAAATTGGCTTCTGTTTATAATAAAAGAATACCTTAAGATGGCCACTTTTCCCTCCAACCTTGGAAGAATTATCCTATTTGCTTGTTGCAATCGTCATGTTAATCCTTTTTTGTATCCCAAATCAACATTAAGTTTAATCATTCATGCTCCAGACCCACTGCAGTCAATTTTCAATTTACTGTGTCATAATTCTATCAAATTAAAAAAAATTTTTTTAAATGTTTATTTATTTTTTAGAGAGACAGGGCATGAATCGGAGAAGGGCAGAGAGAGACAGAAGGAAACACAGAATCTGAAGCAGGCTCCAGGCTCTGAGCTGTCAGCACAGATCCCAATAAAGGGCTGGAACTCACGAGCCATGAGATCATGACCTGAGACAAAGTTGGACACCTAACTGACTGAGGCACACAGGCACCCCTATCAAATATTTAATGTATATAAGACAAATATAATTAATGTATATTTAATGTATAAAAGGCTGGCTCAGTTGCTGGAGCATGTGACTCTTGATCTCAAGGGTTGTGAGTTTGAACTTCACATCAAGTGTAGAGATTACTAAAAAAATAAAATATTAAAAAAAAACACCAACCCTGTTTTTCCCAAAACTGGTTCTCTTTTTTCTACTTCCCTTCTCTATCTTTTTTTTTTAAGTCTATTTATTTTGAGAGGAGGAAGGGGCTGTGCAAGAGGGAGAGAGAGAATCCCAAGCAGACTCCAAGCTGTCAGTGTGGAGTCCAACACAGCGCTTGATCTCAATAACTGCAAGAGCATGACCTGAGCCTAAATCAAGAATCAGATGCTTAATCTACTGAGCCACCCAGGTGCCCCAACTTCTCTTTTTTAAAATTTGTTTTTATTTATTTAAAATTTATTTATTTTTGAGAGAGAGAAAACAGGAGCAGGGGAGGGGCAGAGAGAGAGGAAGAGAGAGAATCCCAAGAAGCCTCCGCCTGTCAGTACAGAGCTTGATTCAGGGCTTGATCCTGCAAACCCTGAGATCATGTGAAATCAATCATTGGATGCTTAGCCAACTGAGCCATCCAGGCACCCCTTCTTCTCTCTCTCTCTCTCTCTCTCTCTCTCTCTCTCCCTCTCTCTCTTTTGTAATTTCATCTCATTTATTTTAATTCTGGTATAGTTAATGTACAGTGTTATATTAGTTTCACATGTACAATGTACTGATTCAATATAGTGATTCATATATCACCCAGTGCTCATCATAAAGTGCATTCCTTAATCCCCATCACCTGTTTCACCCATCCCCCTACTCATCTCCCCTCTGACAACCACCAGTTTGTTCTCTATTTCACTTCTCTTAATTTCAGAATCTTTCTCAAAGATCTACTCTCATAATCACTACACATCAGTTGCCAAATTATTAATTCTATAAGAGGTACACTCAAGTGTAAGTGAGTTGTATTCTAAGAACTTGAAATTTAGAGAAATAAGTTTGCTTTCAGAGTTAAACTATAAAATCTTCAAGACCCTTACTAATAGTAGCTAACATTTATTGTATGATTACCACATGCCAGGGTCTATGCTAAATTCTTTACATGTATTATTGTAAAATAGCCCATTCAGCAACTTTGTTACGGGGTAGGTATTTTTAGCCTCACATAAGTTGCATCTATTAGGATCCTTCAGTTGTAAATAATGGAAACTCACTGGCGATTTAAACCAAAAAGAATTCATTGGAACGACATAAAGAACTTACAGAAATGATAGGAAGGCAGAGGAAACCAGCTTGGAAATGCATGATCTAGTTAATTCCAGAGCACCACATAGCAAAGACCATGAGAGTGGTCTCATGGTAGAAGCCCCACTGAGATGTATGAACTATCACTCTTCTTCTATCCTTGTTTCTTGCTCAAGATTCAAAGTCTGGGGAGAAAGCATTCTGTTGACTTAATTTAGGTCAGTGTCTGACCCCAGAATGTAATAGAATCTGTGAGAAAATCACTAGAATTATCTTTAGCTTGTGTAAGAGGAGGCCAGGAATCCTATCCAAACTACATAAAATGGAGAAGTAACTCCCTCAAAGAGATTGAGATGCTGCTAGGAAAGTGTTATAGCTGCTGGGCAACCAAAAACAAGGAATGCACATTGTAAATTAAAGCTTGCTCAAGGTAATACCATTAGGAAACAGCCTATCAGAAATTCAAAGTGTAACTCCAGAGCCTATGCTTTTTGGGATGATTTTATCTCCCAGGGGACATTTGGCAGTGTGGAGATACTCATCACAACTGTTGGGACAGGTGCCATTGGCATTTACCAGGTAAATGTCAAAGTGTGCTGCTAAACGTCCTAAAATATATATTACAGCTTTCCAATAAAGAATTATTTGGCCCCAAACGTCAATAATGCTAAGGTTGGTAACTCTAACCTGAGAAAATATGGCATGGGGCCATATTCTTAAAATGTGTCATTGAGAAGTCTTAATAAACAACACAGTATGGTAGAAAAGGGAAGGTCAAAATGGAGCAAACTTCTGTATAAATACTCAAGCCCTATTCAAAAGGTTGAGGATCCTTCTTAGATTGGTCTTGATACCTTATCCTTATTTTAGAAATGGCTGCATCAGGCTATCTCAGTCTGATGCTATTAAATATTTGAAACATAGTGAACTCATCTGATTCTCTGCCTATCAGTTCTCAACCTGTTGATAAATTGAGTCCCAGTCACTTTAGTTACAGCCAGATCAATGCAAATGTCTGGTTTCAATATAAGTAATATTCTCATTGTAAATTTGTATGTTATTTTGATTTTTATACATCAGTTTCTTGTGAGATTTGTTAATTAATATTCCTCCATGTAGTTAAGGTTGAAACACTCACACTTCTGAGCCTCCAAGTTCAAACTGCTATATTTTGTCATAAATTTAGGCAGATAATTGTCAGGATGGTAGTTTTAGAACATTCTTTGACACTCCTCTCATCAGGAGGTAGGATGTATTTTGTCCCTTTCTCTTGAATCTGAATGGGCCTATTACTGCTTTGACCAATAGTGTACCACAGAAGTGATGCTATTGACTTATGACACAAGATTATAAAAGGCTATGCACCTTCTGTCATACTCACTGGAACACTCACTCTTGGAAACCTGAGCCACCATGTAAGAAGTCAAACTACTCTAAGGCCATCAAGTTGGACACATTTTGTGTAGGCATTCATAGGCCCAGCTGAGCACCCAGTTAACAGCCAGCTTCAACTTCCAGTTTGGAAACATAGTCAAATTAGTATCTTGAAAACAATGTACATATTAGTCATTTTTTACTCAATTTTTCCAATATAAAGGAAAAAAGTATAATGTGAGTGAGTCCTCTTGGACATCTAGCCCATTTGAACCTTCAGATGACTTTATCCCCAACCAACTGCTATCTGACTGCAACCTCATGAGACCTACAAGTGAGAACCACCTAGCCGAGCCCAGTCAACCTACAGAGCTGTGGAATACTATAAAATGGTTTTTGTTTTAGCCACCAAGTTTTGAGGTAGTTTGTTATGCAGCAACAGACATCCAGAATAGCCTCTTGAGAGTCTCCCTGGGTAGGGTGTCAGATCTTTCCAATTTGTGTCTTCAGGTGCCTTCTTAGAATTTCAGATTTTCCTGTACAGTGTCTTTTAGCTTCCTCTGTTCCTTTTCATTCCCACTGACATCATTCTCTTCTGTGTTCTCATTCTTTCCCATTGCCCCACTGATCTTTAAGCCTTCAATTTCTCTTTTTCAATCTACCCTGCACTCATCTGAAAGAATATTTATATATTAAATTTTCTTAGAACATGGTTTTTATCATGTTTCTTTCAAATTCAGTATTTTTGCCAAAACTGGGAACAAATTCCTTCTCCCAAAACAGCTTAGATTTAATCTTGACCTTTTGCCTATGTCCATAGGCTTTATACATTAAAGACTCATGAAATTATTGGCATATATTTCCAGAGATACAAAGTTCCAAAATTTTATATGAGAATTTAAAAAGGTATTTGAAAAATAATTTTATACACGAAGGACCCAAGTTTATTTTGCATACATATTTTGATTTGCCTTTGTGCAAATAACTGCAATGTATTGTGCTGTTATTTAGGTAGATGGAGGTTCATCAAATCTTAATAGTCCTCAACATGCAGGATTACTAAAAACCACGTGTGCTATACTGGTGCCAGATATGTCATTTATAGATCACTCTTTCATAAGGCAACAAACGGCTTCATATGCCCAAATCATTTCCTTTCTGGAGAAGATACATTATGTCAGCATGGTTACCATGTGTGGTAATTGATAATGTCTGTGCCACATGGCTTACTTCTACCCTTGTCCAACACAGCTATTCTACCACCTATGATTACCATATGTTACAGCACTCTAGGTTAATGGAATCATTTCCATCTTCCCTTCTAGTCACAAATGTCATTGTGGCTCAATTCCATCAGATCCACACTCCACAAAGAATAAAGTGTTCAGAACACTGAGCATAGAAGACACCTTTGTGAAGTTTTCATATTTAGTTGCCTGTTTCATTTTTATTTTAAAAATCAGTTGGATTTTTTTGATGAATGCTCCAGAGTGAGTAATGGGTATCTGCTGACTAAAATAGAACATGATCAATATCACTCTCAATTATTGCATGTATTTACTCTAAATAAATATAAAAAGGGAATTAGAAATTAGATGATGATAATAAAGATAGACTTTTACTACTATAAAGCACTTTTTAGTTTCTGTAAAGTGAAAACTTGTAGCAAAATATTGAAGTGGATTTTTTTGTAATAGAGTCCATTCATTTTTGAAGAACCATTAATTACAGAAGGAATACACCATGTTAGCCATTTTTAATACGTTCATCAGAAATTACCACGAACCCCTGCCCTCTTCCTCTTTCATAAGCATGTCATAATAAATTCACAAATAATTTTGCTTCCTCAAAAAGCTATACTAGATAAAAACAAAGATTGTTATCAGTAGTGGTTAAAACACTAAGAAAAAAGAGGCTGTGTGGGGAGCTTCTTTGCTTGTTAAAACCAATGAAATAGTGCATATAGGCCTATTATTACCTGATGTGAATATTAACTTTGACAGTTTTGGACTGTTGCAGCTATATGACCATATTAGCTAGCAATAGAGAAGTAGTAAAAATTAATATAGCAGTCATATTTTTGGCAGCAAATGGAGATTG